ACAGCTGATTGCTGGAAATTCACAGCCAGATGCAATGAAATTAACTTAGGACCAGTTCAAGGACGAGGCGCCGTCGTTCGCTCGGACATTGATGGTTCAAGTGCATTTCTCGTCGAGCAGTGGACGAATCACACATTCTCGATCGGGCTGAAAAGGTGGAGTGCGCACTTGTGATCAACTTGACAATGCACTCGTGCAGAGTGACTCTTCTGGACGCTGCCGTTCACGCCGCTCGAACGACTGAAGAAGTTGGTTTGGAAGCCAACTGACTGGAAGAATCCGGGTCCATTGGTGCTCAAGTACACCCGGAACCGGTCAGCGGTACCTGCACTCATGGTCAAACAGTTGATCAAAGACATTGCGAAAGAACACCACCCTGCTCAAGATGATGTTGACACGCTCCTGATGGACGCAGCTGAAGCTGAGCTCGAAACGGTTGAGTTCTTCATCAAGAAACCGTCTCCAGGAAGCAGCTATGAATATTGCTTTCACTGCAGCTCCAGTGTGAACCAGGAGTCGACTGCTTGCAACCGCTACTCGCTGTCGGACTGCTTGTCAGTAGGGGAGGTTCTGCCGGACGCGAGCGTTTTGTGCAAAGTGTGCGCGCGAGCGCGGCCGGAAGCGGCCTCCTTTCATGGCGCTGAGCCTTCCTGATCATGGCTCTTGCCGAGAGGTCAGCCCGGCATGCTTGTCGACGTTTCGCACGTTCGCCGTTCGGTCGGATGTTTTGACCTCGCTCATCGGTTCTGGACTCAGCTCGCCATCTAGGAAAACCCGCGTTTGGGAGGAGGGAGGGCTTTGAGTGTTCGACGTGCATGTTCGTCATTGTGTCCGTCTTGTCTCCCTTCTTTTGCCTTTTGTCTGGTCATTCTGTCCGCCTTGTCTCCCCTCTGTTTCTTTTTGTCTCCGGTTTTGCCCCCCTTGTTGTTGGTCACTGTGGTCTACGGTGGTGTAATTTTTCAAGATTGTTTTTTTCTAGAATAAAGCAACCCCTGGTGGACATAAATCTAATATGCAATGAGTCTATCGTTCCTAAGCCCTGAAAACTCTTTGGATTTATTGTTGACTAGGGTAAACTTGCGGTGGTTTTATAGTGGTGCGTGACTATTTACGGATGAGCATCACTATGTGCAGTTTTCAATTACATATATAGTTCAAAACAGACAATGCACAAGGAAGCTGATACTGAAGTTGGTAAAGGTGAAATGGTGAGTCGGTTGAGCTGTCAATTGCAGTGGTCTTGTGGTGAGGAAGGGAAGGCGTGAACGACTTAAACTTTGAGGCATAGCTAAATTCCAGTAGCCAAGCCTTGAACAGTAGTTTTTGACCAAGCCGAGCTTAGCAAGAGGGAGGACTTTAAACCAGGTGTCCAGCTAGGCCCTGAGTGGAGAGAAACTAATGTTGACTTAGTTCGCCGTTGAATTTGGCCAGGCCAAGCACATTAGCATGCCGTTCTCAAGTCTTTGTTTGGCATGTTTATGTGGGGTCCCTTTGCTTGAATCATTGATACGAACCACACAGCAATAGAACGCCTTGCAAAGCGTGGAAAAGATCATTCTTCCAACTGAGAAACTATGTACTCTGACGCCGGGTGAATGGACTCAGGTGGCAAAAAAGGAAGACTGAAGAAGACTCATGTTGTAAAGCAATGATGCTGCCGCTACTTCTACCTGATGCTATTCAACATGAAGTGTGCAGAAGGAACGGATCGTTCACATGCAAGAAAGCCTGGCTCTGATAGTGCGGACCATCCTCAAAGTTGCCAAGAGTCCCAGATGACTCCAGCCCAACTTCACGAGCGGCCACTGCAGAACAACTGCTATTTTTTGGGGTCCTGATGTTTCACCAATAGCGCTGCCCTGCGACAAACGATAGTGTTTGTTGGGAGCTGCCACCAGTGAACCTGTGCGCCTGGGTGAAAAGACATGATAACCGTTTCACAGTAGGTAAACTGAGCGCACTGGCAGCTTGAGAAAGAACATGCACTTACAGCTTGACCGTGCACTTGCTTTGCATGTGACACCAACTTGCTTTTTCTTTTGCAAAATGTGCACGCTGCGGTGTTTGGAGTCCAAGGGGCATTGTGAGTAGAAGGGCAAAGGCAGCATACGGGCCTCGGCGGTGGAGCACTTGACAATGGCCACAGAAAGAAAGGTGCGCTTGGCATTAGAACCTTTTTCCCGAATGCGTAGTGAAGGGTTCCCGTTCAACTTTGGGAGTCTGAGGGTAGAGCGTTGTTCGCGTGATGTTGCTTTCATGTCCGCGACCGTTCGCATGTGTTTGAATGTGATCGACAAGGCTGTGCCAATGGGGGAAGCTTTTGACGAGGTTTTGGATGGAAGGCTGAAGTGTCAGATTCCTGTGAAAGAGCGTAGAAACGTAACATGTGGAAGTGTGGAGGTTGATTTTGTTGCGCAGGTGTAGCGTTTAATGAGATAGAGAGTGGTGTGTTTGAGGTATTGGATGTCGCCGTGACAGTGTGATGTGCACTGTCGTCTCGAAGCTGTGTTCCCGTGACAAGTCTCAACTCAAAGATAAATTGCAACTTTGGTGGATGCAAGTGTGCTCAAAAACCGTCGAAGCCATTCCAATCCAGTGGTGCGGTGCAAATTTTGCTGAAGACATGAAGGATGTGGTATGGTGGCGGGCAGGCGCAGTATTTTGTGCGTGTTGGAGGTGAGGTTGAGCTTCGCTGTGCCATTGGGATAGGCATGTCAGCACAAAGCTGCTTGGCAGGTTGATGTGTTCGCTCTGATGAGGTTTCTCGCTTTTGGAGGAAGTGTCTTACAAACGCTCGTTCTGGAGAGTTGACGCGCGATTTGCGGAGGAAGCCTCCTACAAAACTTGATGCGTGCGTGCGTTTTGGAGGAAATCTTGCACGAAGCGCTCATTTTGGAGACTTGACACGTGGGTTTTGGAGGAAGTCTCGCACGAAGCGCTGGGTTTGGAGACTTGACGCGGCGCGTGGTTTTTGGAGGAAGCAAGGGTGTCCCACAAGAGTGACCCACGAGAATGTCCCACAAGACTCTGCCACAAGACTGTGCCAGTTGCACGAGTGTCCCGCAAGACTGTGCCACAAGAGTGTCGCACGAGTGTCCCACAAGACTGTGCCAACAAGAGTGTCCGGCAGGAACATCCCACAAGAGTGTCCCACAAGAGTGTTTTCTACAAGAGTGTCCTACAAGAGTGCCACACGAGAGTGTCAAACAATGTTTGACTGATTGTTTTCGAGTGGGTGTGTGCATTCGGGCATCCGTCTTGCGTTTACAAAATATTGAGTTGCTCAACATATGGCTTCGGTTGGTGCCTGCTGAAAACTTGGAGGTTCAGATCAAGAATGCCGACATGAACGAAGTGCTTCAGACCGAGGTGGTCGAGCTTGCAAAAACAGCCATGGACAGATTTAACACAGAGAAGGACATTGCGAACTTCATCAAGAAAGAGCTGGACAGAAATCACACGCCATTTTGGCATTGCATAGTTGGTCGCAACTTTGGCTCCTATGTGACTCACGAGACAAAGCACTTCGTGTACTTCTACATTGATGAGCTTGCAGTCCTTGCCTTCAAGGCTGGGTGAAAAATATCTGACGGGCTACCAGGGTTGTTTCACTGAACTGTCAGAGGTTTCACTTCTTGGAAAACACAATTGAAGTAGCCCTTCAAACATGTTCATCATACACTTACTGTACTTGTGTTCTGATGCTTTGTTTGATGTGTCCAGCCTACTGGAAGTGTCCAAACGAATTTGCTGCTCCAACTGTGGCAGCCATGCACACAACTAAAGAGCGAAATCAGTTCTGATGGCTGAAAAAGACCGCATGTGTCCCAGAAACAATTGCACAATATCAAGATTCCTTGTGCAATTTGGTTTGTTGCACTGGTGTGGCAGTAATCATTCAACCTGCTGCCATTTAGTGAAAGGATAGAATTGAATCTCGCGTATGGTCAACACTGAACTGTCGACATTGGACAAAAAAAGGGAAACCGGGTTGTAGGCTGTTGGTATTACTCAACATGCCATCATTACGGGCCAGATGGCGCTTTCGAATCGTTTCTGCGCTGGCAATTTTCCCTGTAGCATCTATTTCAGCTTGCATACTTTTTGCTGGTGTGCAGAAACAGGTGCGGAAGGTGGACGTGCATTGCGAAGCACGCCGCGTGGTCAGGTGTCCGAGCTGTGGCCAAGCCCAACGGGCAGACTGTGACGGAAATGGCCGCTTGCTGGGAACAATGGCCCAAGTAGCAGATTGGTCACCGATCAAGGCATACAGTGTTTGTCCTCGGTTCCGGGGTAGATATCAAAGAAAAGGGCAAAAGTTTGACAGCCTGTTTGATGGCGATGTGGATGGAAAGGAACGCGACCGCATGCTGGAAGTCCCGGCAACTTGGCGATCACTGACAAAGATTCGAATCCGAGAGCTCCCAGATATAAATTCGCAGGCAACGGGTGACGTAGTCGGACCATATGAAAGCTTCATTGTGGATGATGTTATTCGCAAAGATGGCCAACACTTCTTGAAGCTGGCCGGCAAATCAGGTTGGGTGTTTGACCGAGGAGTGGTCGGTTCTTGGTCTGGCAAGCCCATTTGTGAACGGCTAAATGATTAGTGTGCATCCGCTTGCAAATGGCAAGTTGGATTGTCGAAAGTGGAGGTACAGCTCAAAACGGTTCCTTTCCAGGCCTCCCTTTGAGTTGCCAAGCTTGTTGAAATTGTTTTTGCTGAAAGTAAAGGGGGAGCCTTCATAAGACAAGTTGATATTGTTGCGACCAGATTTCCGTGTAGCTGCACATTTGGCAGTACATCATGATTGGTTTCTCCATGATCGTTTCATTCAAGCTCACACAAAACATTTGTCATTTGTGTGTGTGTTCCATGTCACTTAAGATGGGTGTATGTTTGTGTATTCTTCCTGCTAACGTGAAGCTGTTTGGCTTGACACAGGAATGTGCCTAGAAGACAGAAGGACATGCACCCTGTTCAACACCACAGCATCACCCGTAGCACCCTAGGACACTTAAAACCCCTTTACTATTTACATAGGTTGAGTAAGTTGAATTTCTGCGCCTGCCTGAGTTGGTAGAGCCACTGTGTCGATAGGACAGGAACTCAGCTGCGAACAATTCCAAGGACAATATATTGAATCGTTTTGTTTGGAGTTCAAATAAAGCAAAACTGAACATGTGGTTTGGGGACATCTCCAGCCATTTTCACCTCTCCATCTCTGAGTCCCTGAGGCAAGTTGAGGTAAGCGTTCAAATTGATCCGTGGCGTGCTCAAGACCCCCGTATACAGATCTTCACATTGAGTGACCCTACACCAAGGCACTTTGGAGCTCGATGGGAAACAAAATCTTGACTCAGTGTCCCTGCTTGTCTTGCTCAGTTGTGGAGTAGATTATTCAAGCGCACGTGATTACGTGTCCATTGCCCATGAGGTATGATGTCCAAAAAGAACCGTGCTACTACAGTAGGAAACTGAGAATGGCAGAGATTTCTCTTGAAGTGTAGAAAACCAAATTCGTGGCTGTCAGGCCCAGAGTTGAGATGGAAGTTGCACTCAGCCAGCTTCAAGGTTGGAAGCATGGCCACAGTGGCACCTGGCAAGTCATGCTGCCTAGGAGAAGCCAGAGGATAAACTGACAATCTTTCTTTTTGAGAGAAAGGTCATTGAGAAGTGCGCGCTGTCAACTCAATTTGTAGCATCTATTGATATACAGTATATACTCAATAGTCAACACACTGAATGAACTGCTGGCCTGGCAGCAGGTACCCAAAAAATAACAAGGAGCAGATAGTGGAGCTTTTGAAAAAAGCCTGGCCCCCAAGGTACTTAAGAGGTTCGTTTCACTTCGCCCGGGGATCTGGAAGATACGCGTATGAATCACATGAAGACTGTAGCTTCCACAAACCACTGATTGAGCACAAGGCCCGTTTAACCAGGTTTACCTGAGACTCTTTTTTGCATTGAGCTTGTTACTTGTTCCTTGTTTATTCAAGGTTGTTTGCGCATTTTTGCACCGTCGTCGGGAGATATTTCAGTGGTAGTTCGCTGTGTTGCAAGAGCACTTCAAGAACATGGGGTACCATAAAGAAGGCGAGCTCAGAAGCTGATCGGCTAGAATCATGGGAACTTAAGGTACCCACCTCCCAACTAGAGACCCCAGCTGGCTTCATAATAGCTATATATATATATATATATGGATATCGATAAGGCCTTATCAAAGCCTAAAGAGTAACGTCAAAAAATAGGCACAACATAAGAAAACAACATTGAAATAGACTATTCCATGTCTAAACCAGGGTTACTTTGCAGAAAGAAACTAGACGACGGGTGGCCCGAGAGCGAGACATGTGATTGTCCAGTACTGTGGAAAAGAGATCGATAAAGAAAGAAAGAAAGAAAGAAAGGATGGACGTGAAGGAGTGACGGTGTGGATGTGCAGGTGTCATATAGATGTGTAGATGTATGGAGGTGGACAGGTAGATGTATGGATGCGAGCGTGCGGAGACGTAAATAGACAGAGGCGAGAGAAAATATATATCTTAGGTTCGTCAGAAGTCAGTCGCTCTTCAATCGGCTGCAGACAAGTCAGTCTCATTTCAAGACAAAAACGAAGTAAACCGTCAGCAGGTCGAAGCACACGCAAAATGGATTTGTGTGCGCTTCATCCTGGTCCCAAAAACAAGCGGCGAGTAGAGATCCTGCGAGCAGAGGCTCAAAGCAAATCAGTTTGACTTCAAGTATCAGACACAGAGAAAGCACGCAGTAAGTGTGCTTCCAGTCATCATCTCCACTCTCGCGGATAGGCCCTTCAAAGCACCAACGCTGCGACCTGAGAGCAAACGACATTACGATCAGGACAAGTGATTCGTGCGTTCCAACTGTGCATCGATTGTCGCGCAGGTGAAGCAGACACATATCAACGTCACGTCCCTTTTTCCGGCAGTTGCGGATCCCGTCGTCGAAGCGATGATGTCGCAGTTTCGTCCCGAACAGTCTCGACGGACGACCCGCGACACAAACTAGTCTCGGTGTGCTGCGCTGAAGTCGTCTCTCTGCCATTCCGCGCGCAAACCTTCCAGGTGCCACAGCGCTTCCAAGACATAGGGTCGATTGCGCCAAGGACGCAACGCTGGTCTTTTCTGAAGTAGCAACTGCACGGCTTCCAGTGCGGAGTGCTCGTAAGCGACAACGAGACAAGCGCAGCCCCCAAAGCAGTGAAAGAGCACGTGCATGGATTTGTCTTCGGCGACCGCCAGCATGGACTGTTTCCATAACTGGTTGCAGACGATTTTCCACTCTCGCAAACAGGAAGCCACCAAGTCCGGAATCTGCTCAAGCCAACGCCTTGTCCGCTTCAATGTCGTGTCCTCCAAGTGACACTGGATGTGAAAGACATCTTGTTCTTGAAAGTATTTCGTCCAGTCGGTCGGCGCGCCTGTGATCTGCATCTCTTGCGCGCACATGGTGACCACCACAGTGACCTTCAAAGACGTGGTCTCCACAATGTCTTCCAAGCTACACGCGGCTTTCAAACTTCCAAGCAACAGTGCTGCTCGATCCGTAGGATTGTACATGACAGCAGCATCCAAAGGCCACGCTTCTATGGACCTAAAGCTGTAGTCATGTTGGTCTGTGACATAATCCAAAGCAGTCCATCGGTTCTTATCAGCATAAGCGTCTCTGATATCCTGCTCTCGCTGCTCTCTCCACTCGAGAGCGTCAGTAGCCAGAGCCATGGAGAACGCGCGATACCTAGGACAGATCCCTAACACCTACTACATCAGTGATAAGAGTTACAAGTCTGTACGTGACGAAGTGAAGTGAAAGTCTTTTTGAAAACAACAATGGCAGCGAAGTGCACGGAGTCGCGGCTACCCAGTGCTTGAGCCCCGGGGAGGCATGGTATGAAAGCCACTCACTCTCATGGTGTCCGAGGATATCAAGCAAACAATCCTTAAAGCAGGAGGTCACGAAACTCTCAGGCACGAATACTTCTGCCTATCCAAAAGAAAGTGGCAAGATCTCGTTGACACAGTTTGTCCCGCCGCACCAAACGTGAACTCAGCATCGGACGTCATACTCCGATGTAATATATAGAATCACCTCAAAAGACGAAATCGAAGTCAGTGGGAAACATGAGTGCAAACACATGTATGCAAGACTTTCCCTACGGAAGCAGTCGCACGCAGTCAGGTGTTCTTTTTGTGTGCCGAGTCGATGGGGTATCAAGATCTAGGAGTCCAAGACAAAATCAGGCCGAGGGGATACACGAACAGTCTCTACAACATCACCCAAAGCAGTGATTCTGAAGATCTACGACTCAACTACAAAATCATGCTGAGGGGATGCGCGAACAGACTCTACAACATCCCAAACAGCAGTGATTCTGATGCCGAGGAGACGCACGAACAGTCTCTACAACATCCCCAGCAGCGCAGTGATTCGCAAAAATACGACGAACTACCACTTGGCGCTTTTCACCTTGTTGGGCGTCGCGTCGATCAAGTTGTTGGCATGTTTTTTTCGAAGAGATCATCTGCACCGCTGCGACGCCACTGCGCTCCTCCCTGACGGCCGCAATTTCTTCTTCTGTATGCAACTTGAAAATCTTTTCTGCCACCAGAACCACCCTGAGGATCCTCTTTTGATTCTAGTCAATTAAAACATTGTTTTTTTTGAAAATTTCAATAGCAAAATTTATTGATATTATTAATAGATTTGTGATAAGATCTATATTGAAATTTTAACTGACTTTTTTAAAATGATTTTGCTATTGATTCCTTTATTGATTTTTTTGCAGCCATTTTTCTATCTCAAACATCACTTTGAACCCTTGACAAAAGGGGGAAGCCCCTTGAGAAAAGGGTGCGATCTAATCCCTTGATAAAGGGTTGCCTAACCCCTTGACAAAAGGGTGATGGGCAAGGGTGGTGCCAGGCATACAAGCAAACCAGTGGTTGATGTTGACTTGCTGGTTACATGCCTTGCAGAGCACAAGGAACTGTTGGCTGATTTGGGCTCTTATGAACAGATCTCCAGGAACCAATGTTGTAACCCAAAGGCACTGCTGAAGGTGCTGCCCTTGATAAAAGGGCTGGTGACTTTGGAGTCAACAGCTGAGATACAGCCAGGAAATCTGAGGCAAGCTGCAATGCAGGTTTTGATGGAGCACCCAGCCCTCAACCAGAGTAAGTGGAATGGTGGCCTCTGTGTCAATATCAGAGTGGAAAGGGTGGGGTGATCCTATATGACATGAAGACTGAAACAAGGAGAAGACCTGAGGATGTGTGCTGGCAAGCTAACATCTCTGGAGTTCCTGCATTTGCAGGAAGTCATTGACCTCATGGGGAAGAAGGACAATGAAATGCATACATTAAGGAAATCAGTGTCCTTGGACAGCCAAGGCTACCCTGCTTGCTTTGGAACACCACCAGCAGGAGAGAATGAACACCCCTTGCCAAAGGGTGCCAGGCAAATGAAGATTCCTTCCAAAAAGAAGGGCCTTGGAAGACTCGGTTCGGTGAGGATTCCTTGCCAAAAGGAAGCACCTTGGCAAAGGCACTGCCCCAGCCATCTTTCTTGAGAAGAAGGCAGGGGCAGCTG